TTGGACGTGAACCCATATGAAGCTCAAATTATCGTGAGTTTGCAGGATTTGAGGTGTGTCAGTGTTTTTGGGTCCCCAATGTAGTGATCATTTCCAATCAGGACGGTACCTTCAAGATCAATCCAAGAGGCTTTTCTCAATCCTGCTTTGATATCACTATTCTTCATACCCTTTACTGAGGTTTAGATGTCCATATTGCATGTTGGTTTGGTCCCCTAAGCACTACATTGTTTGTCAACGCTGCCTTTGCTGGTAGAAGAACGTGACTTGATTCCATCTCCTGGCTTCCTAGCCGCAAATCTGCCACATAGTCTACATGAAAACAGTGCCGGGTTTTCTCAAGCAAGTTCTATTGGGGATGATCCCCTCAACAAGTAAATGGATCATAATGGCAATGGCCACAAATACCAAAACATCCCACTTCCCGATTGCAAGTGGCCCATCACTGCCTATGGTGAAGTGCCAGCAGCAAACAATCATGTCGTGGAAGGTAGGCGGTATCCACAAAGGGTTCGCTTCGTAATGCCTCCTGGGGAAAATCAAGGCGCTGACGGTGATTTTGTGGTTTTTGGCGCCACCAATGAATTCAACGGTGTATTGCGATAGAATAAGAATATCATGAGGCTATACCTGTATCATGAGGCTAGTAGAACGTTTTTAATAACGGTACGACCAGCGAACATGGGGACAGATGATCCAACAATATCACTTCATCGAGCCGACTATTTTGTCAAAGAGGTTTGATCATCTGTACAAAAAAAAACTTGGGATGGATACTCACAGAAGTTCATTGAATTTCATCGATTTCTATGTGGGGATGCTACTGAGAAAATCAGTCCAATCCTGAGCTTTACAATTATCGTCCTGACATGTAGGAGACGTAAACAAGTCGTTTGCTGTAGCCTTTCAGAATGGAATCCGGAATAACAAAACAAACTAAACCCTGCAAAAATTGATCTGGATTCTGATGCTATACCATGCTATACCCTCCAGTAAACTGACATAGCTAAAGAACATGGCCCATTTAGAGATGAGTTACCTATGCACTAAACATGGTGAGTTCCAATGTACCAAAAGGACTCAAAAGGATTCAAAAGGTAACAAACCACAAAATTCGGATGCTGATTCGACACAGTGAACTTGCTGCTAGCTGCATCATCCATAGTAACTTGGAATGACCGGAGCGGAAAAAAACCTTGAACAAAACAAAAACGCAATCCCTAAATACGCAATCATATTCAATCTAGATGTTCACACAAGTTTTTGGGAGTTTCTTGAAATAGGAGATCCCCAAGTCACCAAAGGTTTCAATACTAAGTCATGGTCATCCATGACTTGGATGATATCTGGGGTACAGTGAAACCACTGTTTAACAACCTACTGTAATAAGAACTTCAGGGTCTGGATTGCCAGATTCAACCCTTTCTGTCAGCTAATTTAAAAGAAAAGAACCCTAGGGTACTCTGGAATTCTAGCCACTGGATGCCACTGGTTCTTATTCCCTTTTAATGGGTATCAATATACCAAGCAAGAAGCAAGCACGCAAGAAGCAAGCACGCAAGAAGCAAGCGAACCGCCAGCGCCACAGGGATTCGAGCCCCAATACGGCTAGCAAGTATGAAGACAACAGCCTGTACCCGACGCTAGCCGGACTCACTAGAGGCCATCTGGCTGCAGATGCTGCCCTTGGCTTGTGTTTGGTTTGTCTTGGCTTGTCTTGCCTGTGCTTCCTTGTCTCGGGCTCCTAAATCAAAAAAAACTTTTCGGGACCTAAACAGTTGTTTTCTTCCCCCTACCTCCTTTGCAACCTAATACCACGCCAAAATAAACTTTCAAGCCCTGGCATGGTGGAATATCTGGCCTGTAGCTCTGTTTGGAGTGCCGGCACCTGAAAAGACTTTTTGGGACCTAAAACGTGTTTTTCTTCCCCCCGCCTCCTTTGCAACCTAATACTACCCCACAAAATGAAGTGGCAAAACCCTTGCCATATGAACCCCTTAAGAACTAACCCGTTAAGAACTTGAGGGTACCCTCGTCCATAATTCCAATATTTTCCACCTATAGCACTTAAGAACCCCTATTTTCTTAATCGGTTCTTATCTAACGGTTCCGCTGTACCCCCCTATGACTTCGGAAACCTCCATGTGCTGGACTGACCCCAAGCCAGATCGTCCCTGCGTCGACCTGCAAACATTGCCCGAAGAGGCTTCTGGGGATGCGCTCCCGCCAGCGACGGTCAGCGAAGCACCTAGCTTCTAGAGCCAACCCATGGATGTTCCGTTGGTGAAAATGGAGGGGCTGGTATGGCAGATCCATTGCCATCATTTATTCATCATATGATTACATATAGCTATATACATAGCTTGCCATATCTACATAGCCTGCCATATTGTTGGCAGTATCATTGACCATATGATAAAGAAGCAGTTTCAAGTAGTCCCCTTTGCTATACCAGTAGTTGCCGTACCATTTACCATCATTATACCATCATTTGCAGAGTGATTGTGAAACATGAAGGGGTACTGTACTCCTCTACTAACCAACGAACCAGTGGGACAAGGACACCAATGGTTTAAAATCCCAAAATGAAGCCACATAACTGACAGGAACGTCGATGAAAACAACATCAAACAAAACAAGTTCGGAATCTTTAGTCACGCTGCTTTTGAAAGCGCCTTTGAACTTTGAGCTCTGATGAACTTGGCTCCGCACAAATATCATATGGGTATTTTCTGAATCTTTCAGACCCCCAGTCCTCTGACAAATAGTTGCCATTTACATCCATTTACCGTGTAAGAAGATGTAACAATCAAACCTGGTGTTGAGTATCCATGGGTATCATGCACATTGATCACGAGTGAACATCCTGGCAGCAGCAAACAGAACCGAGTCCAGGGCCAACTTCTTTCTGGTGCTGCTCGGACCATCAACTCCTGATCTTTTTTTGATCGGAAAGCATCCAACAGCGGGGAAAATTTGGGAAATCTGTGATGGAACCCCAAAATCCCAATTTATCATTTCAGAAACATGCCAAACATGCACAAGATTCAGCCATCAAATCTGTGATGGACGCGATGTTAGTTAAGGAACGGAAAACCGTGCTTGGGTTGGGGATTCTTTGAACTTTGCAATTGGAGGATCTTTAAAGGTTGTGGATCGCTTCAGAAGAAAACACCACTGGACACCACCCCGCCACGGCGATATCAATTCAATGGCTGAGGTCCCAAGACTTTACTTGAAATCCCCCTTGAAAACAATTAAGGACGACACTTGGATACAGAAATGTTGGCGGGGAACGCTGTGTCAAAATGGAAGAAAAACTTGGGAAAGCACTGCAAAAAAAAACACACATCAAAAAACTGACCAGTTGTAGGATCATTTTTTGGACGTACATAGGGATACAACGAGATGCCCAGCACTCTTCTGACTGTATAAAATATATACATACAAACAAAATTGCATAAAACTATATATATATATATATATATATTTACACGATTATATACGATTTACATAGTGCCTTTATGCTCAAAAGTTCAAACCCAAAGCTAGGACATAAACTTTCATTCCTTTTCAGTCTAAGCATCCCCACACATCGTATACTTTCCGAAACATGGATCCAGTATATCTATGTCTATATATATATAATATATATATATATATTATGAATATATATATATAGTATATATATATATTGTATATATATATATTGTATATATATATATATATACTGATACTCCTTAGAAGGATTCTATTTGGTTTGTTGATTTCCCATGATTTCCCATGATTTCCCCCTTGCGCCTGGAAGGAGTGAAGAATGAGCATCTGCTCCAACTCGTGTGGTGAAACGTCGGGCGCAAAGGGGTAGAAACGATGTCTCAGCGCCTGCCGAAACGGCCATGGGAAGGTCAAATCAGGAGGTCCGGATCAAATTTAAGGACATTTATAGGCAACTTAGATAGTCATGAGAAATGGGGTTCTAAGTTCTAAACATTGCAATAAACGGTGTGGTTTTCCTCTATATAGACATCACCTTCTAGAGGGTTCACTATATTCGAGCACCAAAAGGTCACGTGAAAACCAGGAGCTGCTGTTTTGATCGACGAGTGGGATGGACGATTCGCCTTGACCTGCATTGAAACCCGGTCCCTACTAAGCATCATTAAGAATCCTATACCCCGTGGACACAAAGAAAATACCGATAATACCAGCGAAACACAAATCTAGGATCCATCTGGCGAAACAGAAATGCACACAGAGTCAGCTTCCACAGAAGACTAAGGTCAATAGTGGTTCGGCAGGCAATCTGCCTATCCCGGGAGGTTTTACCCATTCCCGAGCTCCCACCTCTCTCTCCACAGCAGAGAACGTAGCTGCCCTTGGGGGAGATGGGGGTTCCAAACATGATTCCTTCAAACTCACCCATACCAATTGGACAGATCCTCCAAAAAACAAGAAATAAAGTCTTCAAGTTTACCAACCATCCAATAAAACTTCAGGTCGAGCTCTTGCAAACGTCACGTTGCTATCAAAGCCTGTCGACCTTGAACAAACTAGCAAAGGGATGTTCATCCGAATCAACATCTTCAGACGGTGGCAGAATCTCCATGTGTTAAGGACGCCACGCAGGCAGACCTGTGCCCCGGCCAGGGACCGAGACCTGCGCGTCACCGGAGCTGGAAAAACCCCTGATCTTGAGTCTGGGGATCATCCAAAAGCCGCGTATTTTCACTGAGATCAGACCATGATCAAACCCAGATTTCCAGATTCCCACGAATTGCAGTGGCTTTGTGAGAATGTTCACGTCCCAAATGTCTCCAATTGCTACAGTATGAAGGTGCAATCCACAAACAAGACATTTGCAGGAATCAAAGACCGGCTTTGGAAAACACTTGGAGCCTTCTCGTTCCATCATTACAAATAAACATCTCACAATTCTTGGAAACAATTGGCCTTGCATGTACAAGCTTTGCACCACGACTTCCAAGATCACACGCATCTTTTGCACATGGTCTTCATCAATATGTGATCCATCGTGTACCTGCTGTCTGCATTCCTTGTTGGTTGGGAAGCAACAGGCATCACACGCAGCAGTGGCTTCTTGTCCTGGACCATCCCGGACCAAATGGAGCGCGATTCAGACCCTGTCTATCTCTTTCGGTTGTAAACTGACTTGGGCCACAGAATCAGCTTTCAGATTCTGGGAAAGTGTCCATTCCAAACGCATCTCCTTGGGTTTGACGGAGTTGGAAGAATCTCTCCTCCAAAACGACAAAAATATGAAGTGACTTGTTAGTTAATGTAGATCAAACTATTGAAACGACCCCAAATAAATAACTAAAAACAGTCAACTTACTTTACTTCGAGTGATCCCCACCTTGACATATATTATTTTGACTTTCTATATATCTGATATATCTGGCATCTATTCTGACATTCTATCTGGCATTCTATCTAACATGGGTTCGGGCCCAGGCGTGCTCCACAGCATTCGGAGAAGAAGGAGTTGCACCTTTGTTAAAATCTAGAGACCCTCGACAGGTTGGGAACTAACCAAACCAACTCTTTTTCAAATCCAAAACTATTCCAACTATTCCAACTATTCCAACTATTCCAACTCCGAGATTCGTAGAAATTGATGATGAAGATACGCGTGCCCAATCTGCATGTCGTGCCAGTAATTCACCGCGATGGTCACCTCGATAGACTCAGTGATCAAGTCGCTGATCAAGAGATAAACGAATGATTACCCGTACATTGCCAACAAATCACATTTATGAAATTTAAGATTTAACGCTAATTATATAAATGATTGTAATGATTATGCAAAGTATATATATACACAGTACGTAAATCAGTAAGTAATCACAATAATATTAACACTAAATCACAATGAAAAATAAGAATGATCACCATCATCACATTCACATACATTCACCATATTTCTAACAAACTCCACCTAATAGCACATGTTTTTTGGTCGTTTCTCCAGGACACTCCTTTCTGCGCAACGCGGTGGTACCACATCGCCGGCAAATACAGGAGCTCCCGTTCCTTCACTGAGACATCCAAGGCCAACGAGGCGCCAAACTCCGCGAAGTCCGGGAAGCTCTCGGCGACGTGGACATCGCAAACATCGAAGGGGATCCAAGGCAATGATGTCGCATCCTGGGTCAAAACCGGAGAAAATGGAGGTTTTAGTGGGTTTGGATGGGAAAATCATGGGACAACTTACACCCAAATAGCTGGTGTTTCTTTGGGGGTTCTGATGGTATATAATAGGTTTTGAATCTGTCCATGTCAAAATTCGCATCTCTTCGATGCAAGTTTCCTTCCTTATGCCTTATGGTCATCATCCCACGTAGGAATGGAGGAAAAGAAGACCTGAATCCACCAACCAGCTTTAATGCATCGCAATTCTGATTGCAACAAGGCATTGGTCGGGCCGGTCGTCCATTTAATGCGTCAGGATCAACCGCAACCCCACTTAAGAGTGGACATTGGACGGTATCATATTCTCTGTAAATTTGTCTATCTCTATTGGTGAGCATATTATAGTAATATAGTGTATAAAAGGTATCTAGTCTCCAAATATAGTCAAACATGTCTATATACATATCACATATCTCATCATATCTATACTTAAAATACAGTAATTATTATGTACATACTTCACTTGACTTACAACCCACATACACACATAGCTTCTCACCCACTTTTGAATGGCAAGGCTCTGGATCTCCCTCATCCAGCACTGCTTCTAGCTGCCCGTCGGTTGTCCGCCGATACGTCGCGGAAGGAAAGTGGGACTCATGCAGAAAGGGAGCGCTGGCGGGCGGAAGCAACGTGAAGATCTTCTCGCCCCGTACCACCACGTAGAAATTTTCCTGGAATATATATATATATTATAATTTAATCCCTTCCCCCTACTAAACCTACACCAAATACCAAAAACTAGTGTCCATTTCCAATTTGGGGAATTTTTGGGTCGGCCAATCTTATTTTGAATTGATCCTCTATAGAAAACATTCTAAAAAAGAAAGGTTTCATTTGAGGTTTTCACCCCCTAGCAATCAAAACTAGTTAGCACCGGGGTCTTTTTAATTAGGGTCCGTCCTTTTAAATCAAACATTTTAGTTTTTGTGTTTAAAGGTTTTGAACCTTATATTAGGGGAAAGCTTCGAAATCCGATTGTTTGCAATATGTTAATTAGATTGACAAAAAAGAAAAATAATTTTATCAATTTTGAAATAGATTTTTGTTTCATTTTGGTTCTTTCTAAATTAAGACTTTTAATTTAATAGTGGGGGAAAGCTTCGAAATCCAATTGTTAATTACTGTAGATTCTAAAAAAAAAATAATCGATTCTGAAATAGAAACTTAACTTCATTGAGGTTTTTAGTCTAATATTAGGGGAAAACTTCGAATTCCATTTTGTTTGCAATATCTTTTAAATTATATAGACTTTAAAAGGAACTTAACCAATTTTGAAATATAAACTTATATATTTTAATTACTGTTCTAATACCAAATACATCCTAATATTAAGAAAATCCTCCTGGTGTTTACTATTGGGGGGTCCACGTTTAGTATTATAACTGCATATCATGCTGATTTCTTGGGATAGAATGACGTGTATATCTTGATAGAACATATTTAAGGATAACGGATCAATAATGGCTGGTTGAAGGAAAAACAATGGAGGAACAAAAACAATTGCCAGTATATAAATACTAATATACATTCAATGGGATCAGGGCATCAAAGACTGCAACGCAGCGCTTTACTTTTCCTCCAGCCTGTCTTCTGGTCGCTCCCCATTCAGGGGTAAAGGCCTTCTGCCATGATGCGTTGGTTACCCCCAGTTCGTAGGGACCCATCACGGGTGTCGACAACAGCCGCGCGATTCACGCATACCCCAGGCCGGGTGTAAAACCATGCTCCCACGCATACACCTGGTGTTCCTCATCATCTACGGCGCTACTGCACGTAGGAATCGGCTGCCACCATTGGGTTGGTGACGCCGTGGGTTTGGGAGGGTTGGGACAACAAATTATGCCAACAGTCGGTCTTCGACCTTAGAGATTCTCTCTTCAGAGACTCTCCCTGATGTTAGCCATTTTGGGAAATACTTTGAACCAAAATGTAACAGTTGGCATAGATGCATGTCTGACAAATTGAATGAGCAGCATACACCAAACCTGCCCAAGAGCACTATATGCAAATAAATACCGAGCTTTCCTGATTTCTTCAGCAATTTCGTGGAATAAACGATGGGCCACGTGACTGTGAAGTGAATATGAAGATCAGGTCAATTGATGGGGATATGTATATTACATATTAGATACTGATACTATATATTACAGTATGTAATTCACCAACAACACTTCAGTGATCCGCAGTGCACATGAAGAACTTCTGATCATCTTCGCAATCGCTGCAAGCTTCATAGGGATCCTTGTGACAGGAAGAGACTGACCGATCATCCCCTGCATGGGCTGATCCGTCCCATATGTGCCATAGTCAAAACATCGGAGAAAGGGGATGGTCATAGTGGTCATGTCCCCGTTATTTTGGTTTCGTATACGCATGGCAAGGAATCTATGGGGCACATTCTCCCACCACGCAATTTTCAGAGGATTTAGTTTGGGAGCTTTTGATTTTGCTCGGGCCTATCCAGAGGTTTACAGCTTCCGGCTCGTTGCCACAGACATCTTTGGCCAAAGGAAGGATGCCGGGCACGTCCTCCAGCAGTGCAGGAAATTCCTCACGTAATGAGTCATTCTGTCGAGATAGGTAGTGCACCTCGTCGCTGCCCGAGAGCGATTTCCAGAACTCCTGTCATCATCTCCCTACAAAAGGCTCCCCTCATCTCCGGGGGGCCAAAAGAGTTCTTCCACTGAGCATGTTCACTACCATATCTTCAGCTTAACCAGTTCCCTATTTGCTAAGGGTGAATCAAACATGTTCCTCCATGTTTCGCTTCTCAGGTCCCAATCTTTGTCCATGTTTGCTGGCGAAATACTATGCATAAATGATGCAACTCCCATGTTTGTTGCTTAAATCCAATTTCTGTTGCTAAAATCCCTGATTTGTTTGCTATAGTAATCTCATGAGAATCTCATGTAACTTCCCCATTTTCATTGCCTACATCCAGGTCCTGAAAGCTCATCCGTTCCTCCAAGGGCTTGGCGAAGCATCGCCCGCCGTGCGCGGCCTCGAGGCCGCGCACGGCATCGGCGCGGCCGTCCGGGGTGACGTTGACCGAGACCAAGGACGGGCCCAGTGTGGACAGCAGGAACTGCTCCGTCCAGCGGTCGAAACAGGGCCACTGGGCACCTGGTGAAAAAAGGATGGTTCAACTATGGTTGGGCCCAAAAAGAAGTTGGGGTTTTTAGGAACATACTATATATATATATATATATAGATATCATGATATATCCATAGAATACTATAGATATCTATAGACTACTATTGGGCCTCTCCCCGGCCAGTTGGGTTTGTTGGCTCAGAAAACACCACCTTGTAGGATTAAGACCCCTTATAATTAGACCCGGAACCCGGGTACCGCCAGTTTATCAACACATCTCTAAAAATGATGCCCCTCCTTATAAAATGGCAACTCCAATTTACCATCCTTATAAATTGGCAATTTTTTAAGGTTATAAAATGGCAATTGTGGTGTAGCGTTCAGTCAAAATGGAACCTTATGTCATTTTATAAGGAATATATGAGTTTGCATTGTTTCTAAATTGAATTTAAAGTTTCTTATAAAATGTGAGTCCTGTACACTCCACAGAATGACATGGAATTATCATTTTACAAGAGGTACCTGCTCCAAACTTTTATCAAATTCGTATACTAGGTCAATCTAACAGGTTAAAGATGAACCATCATTTTGTGAGGGTGTTGGTTAAAAAAAGTAATTCATAAATCAAATGTTTGTGGCAGTTTATAAAATGGCCATTGTTTACATCGCATCAAACATGAACACGCTCTGGTTATAAACATGTTTGACCACCCCTAAAAAAGTGGGGACCTTATAAAAACACCCCAAACCACCCCGCGGTCACCAAAGCCACCAAGTCACTGGGAAGATCCGTGAGCACCACTGGCTGCGACATGGAGACATAGTCTCGCAGAAACCTCAGCGATTTCAGGGAAGACAGCCACATGTTTGTTTCCTTGGCGATTCCATTGTGGCGAAGCCAATGCCAAGAGACCGAGAGTTGGGATGGGTTCAACTGGGATCCGGGAAGAATGATCCATTCAATCATTCATATATATAAAATATAATATATATATATAATATAATATAATATATATATATATGTATATATAATATATATGTATACTGTAATATATACTGTAATATGAAATCATGTGTAAACAAATAGCATTAAAATCATTAAACAACTACCATTTAAAGAGATGGTTTCAAGGGATGGCCGTGGATCTGGCTGGACCTGCTCCGGCTAAAAAAAGTGGGACCCGAAGCAGCTGATGTTCTTTAATTACAAGTGCATATATATATATATATCATATATTAGCATATAGAAATATGATGAAATATGATATTATATATCGTATATCATATATATATATATGTATATTCATTCATGTATCATATAAGTGTAACGTATTTGTCATATATGTATCATAGGTATCACCTCGATTTGAGCGCAGTCCGACTGGAGTTTTGATCGCCAGAGCGCTTCAAGTTGTTGGTATATACATAGATGGTGGGTGGTGAACATATGTGAAAATCATGTTTCTTCTATTCTCTCCACTCTTTAGTAGGAGGTGCAATTCCCTCAGGACAGTTCTTGATTTGTTTCCAGTGGTTCCGCATGTTGGTACTAGTTGTATTATCAGCCGTCCGCACCAAATAAATTGACTGATTACCCAAAGTAAAACCTCCATAAAATGTTCATAAATTAACAGAAATAACAAAAACAACAAACACACTTCACCAGTTGCTTGGTTCAACTTCCATCCTTATCCCTTTATGGCTGAAAAACTTGTCCGCTCCAAGCAGCTCCAAAGCGGTGACATCTTCAAAGCGCCGCCGCGGAATGACCGGAGGCAGCCAGAAGTCCCGGATGTTTGAGGCCAAACGGGCCTTCTTCTCTCTGTCCATGGCATCCATGGCATCCATGGCCCATGGCATCCATGGCGAAATGATAAACACTATAAGGGGGTTGATTCCTAATGGCTAGTATATCTATAGTATTTATATGTATGTCATTATAAACAGAAATTTAATTATAATCCAACATATTAGATATGAGATAAGTGAGATAAGTATTTATAATGGTTGATCTATAGCGATAGTTGTCTACAAGGACATTTAGATAATCCACCATTAAAAAAAGGTTTGGACTTAACTTGATCATTCGTGAGAAAAAATTGGCCAATGATCCCAACTTGATCAAAAAGCCCCTGTGAGCTCCGAAGATTCAGGGCATCGGCTGAATCATGTCCTTTTGCTAAAAAAGTGGGCCGGGAGCTGGTATACCATCTATCATCATTTACCCTTTGGTTATTTAACATAGCCATGGAACATGGCCCATTTATAGATGATTTTCCCATTAAAACCTCCATTTATAAGGGATTTTCCATGGCTATGTTAAATAACCAGATGGTACCTGTTACAGGGATAAACAAAGCCCTCTATTAACCAACCAACCAATGGGAAAAGGATGGCCACGTTGCAACCCCAGTCGCCTTACTGAGAACTTCATGGACTGATGCCTGACACGGGACATGCGAGGCCATGGCATACATGGCTGCCACAGTGTCAGTCTAGGAACATGGCTGAAACAACTGATTTAATGGTTTTTAGCATGGGATAATGATGGTTAATAATGGTTAATAATGGTTAATAATGGTTATACAAGTTATATCTATTCATATTCCACACATGTAAGCTGTATTCAAGTCCCTTGAGTTTGTTTGTGATATGACATGGATAGCAAACAAAACCATCGCTGCATAAACGTATAGTAATCGTACCCACACCATACAACATATAGATCATCTACAGTAAATGATGTAAGTTTAGATATATGGGTATGGATCAATACCTATTATATAATACCATTTTTAGGGGGATGAACATCCATTTACCAGCTATTTTGATGTTCACCAGGGGTACAAGGTTTTGACACACTGCCATATGTCAACACACATTTTTCTCAAAGTCAAATCTGGCTCCATGGGCTCCATGTTTAGATCCAGAGATCACCGAGGCACCAAAACGGGCTGCCCATCCAGCTGCGCACTGGGGCCACACCTGCGAATTTTTGTGGAGTTACTGTGGATGGGCCAGCGATCTCCGAATCACCAGTTGGTAAGTGGTAAACATCCCATTATTTATAGGTTTTCTACCATCCAAGGTGGTGCACGCTGGCCCATCCACATGAACATTTTACAAGCGAAAAGTAGGGCTACATGGACAAACAAATGGATAATCATGGAAATCAATGGTGAATTGCGTGGAAAAAAGTGGGGATACCATGGGGATTTAATGTATCCCATCCCCTGATGAGATGGGAACCATATAGGATCTGGGATATTATGGGATAGTGCTGGTGTAATGACCAGCCATGGGGATGCTATGGGGGATATAACCAACAATGTGAAGTGTCACAAAGAACGGGGGATATACACCCCAAGATCACCCAAGAGTTGAGTGTTTAAGGGGAACATGATGAACAACAATTGGCTTCTGAGGTACCACATTTTGAGACGCCCGTATTTCGGGGTAAGAGCACTGGGTTTTCTTATAGTTTTTTTTCCCTAGGCCCATCCAAGGATTGTGGAGAGGATTGGATTGTTTGTGATCTTACGCCATTCACATATTGAGGGTCAACGAGTTTGGGAAAAAAAAAGCACAACTTTGAATCTAGGTGCTTCTTCCTGGGTGCCCTTTGGGCACCCAGATCTATCAGTTGCTGATTTTCTTCATCAACTGAGGCTCCGACCGATGGTGGCAAGCCGCCCGATCTAAGTACCTGACAATTTTTTTTCAGCCGATCCATCAGGGATCGCCATGGATCCAGGCCCGATGGGGGCCCATAAATAAATGTATGACGCTAGTGGTCAAGTGGTCAAGCATCGGAGGCATTTGGATCCATATGGTGTTGTGAAATCCCCATTCTTTGTTGGTCAGATCTCAATTATGGTTGGTATCTCAGAGCTACTGAGTCTGTCTTGATGCTTAAATCTCATTGATTTGATGGTGAAATCCCAGTAGTTGGTGAAGTGAACTCTGCCATGTTCATCACCTTTTTATCGATCAAATCACATGACATCCCCATTAAAAAATGCCCCCAAAATCCCCATGTTTCTTGGCGCACGGCAGCAGAGGTCCCGAGTCCGGCAGGCCAGGCACTACCGCAGACCTGGGGATAAAGGGGAGTATTAAAGGGATAATAATATAACAATAATAATGGATATTAATCAATAATATTATGATTATTGTAATAGGTGATAATAATATAACAATAATAATAGGGAGTATTAAAGGGAGTATTAATCATTAAACAATAATAACAATTACCATCATATGATGGATATATCGTGAATATATTATGAGATGTATATATATATATACATATACCGATATAATGATTGTTCATGATATCTATCAGGTGGTTTTGGTAAACTCTGAGTTTAGCTCCAATTGGCTCTCCATTTATGTGGATACCCATGGCTCTATTGGCTGCTCTAAATCACCGCTCATAGAATATCTAGTAGTGGGGATTTAATATGATTTAATAGGCTGTGTATATAATGTATATATAATTATAGTAATTATAGATATAATAAATCATACAAACAATAATGGGTATATATTATACTATCATATAATGGGATATAATGAGTACATCACAAGGATATCATGGGGATAATTCAGCAGCAGCAGCAAACATGGAGACTCTGTCAAACACACACTTCAGCATTTGAGCATTATACGCCTCTATGATTACACTGTGGTAATTTAAAACTATTATGGCAGGCAAACCACCATTTTCTACAGGCAAGTCATCAAAGTAAATGTGCAATTTTCTATGGCTATGTTGCTTCGCTGGAGGGTAAAGCCAACAAACATGGGGATTTGGGTATCCAGCCAACCACACTTGGCACATATATATATATATGATGTATAATGGGGTATATATTGATGTGTTTGTGATGGGGATAGAATGGAGATCTAATGGGGATATGGGATATAATGATGGGGACCCTGCATGTCATGGGGATATTACGGCAATATATTGAGATAAGGGGTTTGCAGGTTTCAACCCCGCGATTCTACGAATTGGGGAGCGTCGTCCTGAAATATACGCAATGTTTGGACACAGAACATCATTCTTGAACCATTCCAAAATATCTCCAAACATGGGTGGAACAGAAAAAAAAAACATTGAACCACCCACCAGCCAGAACTTGATGAAGGGAAGATTCACAATGGGAAAATGTAGCGTCTATTTTGAGTACGGGAAAGGAAAAATCCCATCCAGTTTATAGTTATAGTTTATTTCAATGTTTTACTTGGTGACATTTGCAGGAAAGCACTGCTGTGGCAACAACCACGGTTTGTTGCAAAACATATCTGGAACCGCCTCAATAACATACCTGGGTGTAAGGTTATAATTATTATGATTTGGATCGAAATTCCAGGTTCATTTTCTTGCCAGCATCTTTGCCGTCTAAACGCGCTGTTTTCCAGCAATTAACATGTGTGCATTTACAATCATTTGCATACATAATCATCCCTTCCTCCCAAGATTAAATACATGCAAATATACCACCCCCAAAAAGTGCTGCTGTAGCATTGGATCTATTCCTTTTGGAGTGCCTTATTGGAGCTTAAAAATCGATAAAACCAGGGGATTCGTTGTGATCCTGCCGACGAATACGAACATGGCAATGGACCATGGACCAATTCCCTCCACCAAACAAACAGGAGGATAGTTTGATGTTTGAATGATTCCGCCATACAAAAAATATGATATACATTGATATGTATGTATATATATATATATATGTATATATGTATATATACATGTATATATATATATATATACATGTATAGATATATATATATATATATACATGTATATATATATATATATAGATTTCTGCATCAGTGGATCTAACTAGTTGTCTACCGTATGGCTTTGTCTAGAAACAGAGTACTTCAAACCTCATGATTTATCATTCCCTGTTCCCATGAACGCTGAGGCACTCCGAAACTTGCTTCACAGGTTCTTGCCTAAGGTCCCCCGGCCGAGGTTGGAAGCAACCATCGGGAACATTAACTGATTTAGCATGGAATGTTCATATCTATCATTAATTAAACCCACTTATTTGATGATTTGGATAGATAGCTGGTGTAATTAACCAAGAACAACATTGACATAGACAGCGTGTTTTCTATTGTTTTCTTGGTTGGTCCGGAAGAATATATGAACCATGAATGAATTGAATTGAACCAACAACTGCATGGGCCCCATAACAAGCAACTATTTTTGGGGGGTCACACCCGAAGTCATTGGGATTAACACCAAACAATTGCAGAGTGAATGTCATGTACATGTGTATACTTCTACATCGAGTATAATATGTAAATATATGTAATATGATAATCATTGATACACCATATAGGTATGCAATGCTTGTACAATTTACGTATATCTAAATATGATCATGCACATTCTCTGCAAAATCTAAACTTCTAAACCTGTCTTCCAAGGTCCCAAGCGAGGTTAATTGAGCAGGACCCTCACAGATGGCATCTGCAAAGGCTTCGGCCAAATGCGCCTGGTGGATGGTCATGGATGGTCATGGTGTCTGCATCAAACATATATTGAACATACGTTGAACATACATTGAACATCGATCATCATTGAAAATACACTGAAAATGCATCAAATATATTCAGATATAGCCTTGTGATGCATTATGACACAATTGTACAGCCTTATAACCATGTTTATACCATGATTTAGCGTCCACTTTGATCCATTTTTGTTGGTGTCATCTTGCGCCATTCGGACCACCTCCAGGCGTTGTAGCGCCGCTTCGTCCTCCTTCATCTGTGCCTCACCACTGAGGCTTCGTTCCACCTGAGCCACTTTGAATGGATGAGAGAAAGCGGAAAATGGC